TTATTGGTAAGATTTATTCATTTATTAATCTCTTGATTCTAGGCAAATTGTGCAACAATCAGTTAAATGAATGGATAACAAAACTATTAAGAACCCAAAGTAAATTCATAGCTGCTGTCAAGTGAAAATAATTAATAAAAATACTCTTTAGTTGGGAAATGAATTATCCAATTGAAAAATTAAAACAGAAAAAGATCTAATTTTGATGGGATAAATCGGAAGGGGTGATATTTGCCTTAACCAACAAAGATTCAGATTGAATTCTGTCCAGAGGAGAATGGGCTTTTTTTAAAAGAAAGGAAAATTGGAAGCCCCTTAGAGACTTTAATTTTGATGATTTGGGGGAAAACAAGACATGGGGAGGGGCTTTTATAATCATAGAAAATGTAATGTGTGTGTGTGTGTACACATCTACAAACCTTGTTTCCCTGAAAATACAAACCACCCCAAAAACAATTCATGCCTGCACATAATATAAACTCTACCCCAAAAATAAGCCCAGCCCACTCTGCTGGTTGTACAAGCTGGGGTGAGGTGCATGCATAAAAATCAAGCTTGGGCAGGGTTGGAGGATGGGGTTGCCCCATGTGCTACACATCTGCTTACCTTAGGACTGCTGCAACCAGGCTTCCCACGCCCCGACACCTTCCGTGCCACTGCATGAATTCTACAGCCACTCATGCTGTGGCTTTCCGCAAGCAGCCCCAGAAAAAGTTGGGCAGCGAGTGGCATGACAGTGTCTGGGCATGGGAGGCCTGGCTGTGGTGGTAAGCAAGTAAGACATCCCTAGAAAATAAGATTTGATGCTTTTTTGGGGGCCCCAAAAGAAAATAAGACTAGGTCTTATTTTCAGAGAAGCAAGTATATGTATGTATGTATGCATATATACATACTTACGTACAAATATATAAAAGTGGTGAACATACCAAACAATACTCCTTCCTCCTATTTTTCCCATAACAACCCTGTAAGATGAGTTGGAGTGAGATGACTGGGTCATGGTCATCAAGCTGGTTTTCATGCCTAAAGTGGAATTAGAACTCAGCCTCCTAGTTTGTAGGCCAGCACCTTAACTAGTACACCAAACTGGCTTTGTGATATACAATGCAAAGGAAATTGGAAGCTCCCATTTTTTTCTTTCTGATTCCTTCTTCACACTCCCCATTTTTTCTTTTATTATTTCTGCTCTGTATTAGTTTATATTAGTTTTTATGTCTCTCATAAAACTTCAATAAAAAATTATACCACAATGGAAGAGGTATGCTAATCAAGTGCAAGTTTTTCCAGAGAAATGGGGTTAATCCTGAGAAGAGTTTACAAGTTGGGGAAAGAATCTGTCTGATTGGATCGCTGTGACTTTTAAAGTAACTGCATTTAAACTTTCAGAATTCTTTTACTAGGTGAATATGGGCTGCGGAACAAACGTGAAGTATGGCGAGTGAAGTTCACTTTGGCCAAGATCCGCAAAGCTGCCCGAGAGCTGCTCACCCTGGATGAGAAAGATCAGCGACGCCTTTTTGAAGGTAATATCATGTCAAAATTAGATATTGAATAACAGCTTTGGTGGTGCTGTTGCTTTCAGGACCTATGACTCACTTGAAGCCTGCTGAGTACCTTGATATATTTAACTTTTTTCCCTCATACCAGCTTGTAAGTCATTAATCTGATTATAAGATAGGTGGTATGTGTTATAAGATTATACAAAGGCCTGATTTCCACAACATGTTAAATGGGGTCAAGGGAGGAGAGTTAAGGTGTGATGGAAATACCAAAAAGGGATTAATCGAGCCAATCAGTTTACCACTAATAGTTGGAATTTAGTTGTAAACAGATCTAGTTATGACAAGCTTTAGCTATACCCTTTATAGCTTGCATGCTTCATCCTTTAAAAAAAAAAAGTTTAAAACAATCATGTCTATTATGAAATTCACTACCAAGATTGTAAAGGTAAGAAAATACCAATCAGAAACAGATTGGCTACAGTGGCCAAGCCAATACTGCATCAGCCTGAGCAATGAGAAAGGGGTTAGTGAAAACGCTGTTACTTGCCTGAGATACTGGGCTCTTTCTAAAATAAATGGGTAGGGTTTCTGTGGTATCAATTTTTGAGTCAGTTAAGTGCTTGAGAATTGACAGAACAGTCTGATTGAACTAAACATGTTCTGCAAACAAGGCTGCCATTGACGTTGAGGTGTAATTTGCACTTTAATCTCAAGGTCTCTACTCAGTTGGAAACACAGTTATTGATAATACTTTCTACAATCTGACGATGTTCTTGTCCCAATACTATTTCTATATCCTGGGATTATGTAATTTGTATTTTTTTTGCATAACCAGTTAACTGTGATTGTACCTTTTTCAATTTTGTACCCATAAATATGCTAATCTGAACATTGTCTCTTTTAACATAGAAAGACTCGTTTAGTTTGTTGATGTGTCTTAAATTTCTCTCAGGTAATGCCTTGCTGCGTCGTTTGGTCAGAATTGGAGTGCTGGATGAAGGCAAAATGAAACTGGATTACATCCTGGGTCTGAAAATTGAGGATTTCCTGGAGCGTCGTCTCCAAACCCAGGTCTTCAAATTGGGCCTGGCTAAGTCCATCCATCATGCTCGTGTTCTTATCCGCCAGAGACACATCCGGTATGCTGCTGAGAGCCAAAGTTTGGGGAGTGTAAAGTTAACTATGAACTGCTGACATTGAGTATCAGCATTAGAACATGTACTTCTGAAATAACATTTGCAATATCTTTTATGTATAGTCTGTGCGGCGATAACTCTGGCCCTGGCTTGGGCCTTTATATACCACCAAGCCCTTTTGTGGATCGAATCCTTGGATAGCTCAATAGACTAGCAGTCAAAGCAACTCTCAAAGATTTCGGCAAGGTTCACTGCGGCTTGGCCGTACACCTTGTGAAGGTCTGCCACATGGGTGGCCAAGGTAACACCAAGTACTGCTCCTACTTAGCAAGCACAGCAGTAACCTGATATGATCCTTCTGTACAAGTAAAATGATGGATTTTGCAATGGGTTGGAGGAAATGTTTACTGTCTTCAGTTGCTGAATTCCAGTAAGCAACCCCAGCAAAAAAAGTTGCCAAGAGTTGTAGTTTGACTTTCTGGTGGACTACATTTCCTTAATTAAGCATATATTTTACCACCAGCTGGAATTAAGTAGGTGTTACCTATTATAGGCAGTAACAGCAACATTCACATATAAAACAATTTCCATGGTGCATTGGCTACTTCTGAAAGGTAGTTCCATATCTTGTAAATAAGTATAGGATTGTAGTGTACTGAATATTTATGTTATATTTATGGTGAGATAAAGTCCATGATAGGTTCTATTGTTTACTTGCAAATTGCAAGTGTTACTTTGCCCCCCCCCCCAAAAAAAACCCCCACCAAATACATTCCTTGCTAGCATTGGTGAAGCAATTTTAAATGGTTTGGATGGGGAGGCTGGGTATAAAACCTGATTAAAATTATAAAGCATAAAATTGGTCATTGTTTCTTGCCTGAATAGGTTACTGTCCAGTCAGCAATAACACTGTTCTGATTGCTCTATAAATCATTGTTAGTAGCGATTGCTCCTTTAAAGATTGAAATTCCAATAGAGAATAGCTCAGGGTTGAAATGAGGGGTCCTTGTGATGTTACTCAGCTTGGGTACTGATATATCTGCAAGAAAACAACCAAGCCCGGAGAGCACAAAGATTCCCTGAGTGAACTTAGGTTCCAAATGGATCCAGAAGCCTTTTGCAGTCACTGCACATAACCCTGAAGCCAGTGGCCGTTGGGGCTTTGACTTCTGAATGTTGAAGGTAGACTGTGAACTCAGGAAATATTTGCAGAGCTTGTTTGTTTTGTCAAATATTTCCCACGAGTTCTAGATGAGATTATTTATTCACTAATTTCCTTTTTCCCTCTTAGTGTAAGGAAGCAAGTGGTGAACATCCCTTCCTTCATTGTCCGGCTGGACTCCCAAAAGCACATTGACTTCTCCCTCCGTTCACCTTATGGTGGTGGCCGACCAGGCCGCGTCAAGAGGAAGAATGCCAAGAAGGGCCAGGGCGGTGCTGGCGGAGGAGATGATGAAGAGGAAGATTAAAATGTAGAATATGGCTTTCCTGCCATATAAACCAGTGGGCCATAGAGTCTATCTGACTAATATTATCCAATAAAAAGTATTTGTGGATAAAATACTGTAGTTCCATTGTGTCAAGAGAATTATAAACCTGTTGTAACTTGAACATGTTCTTGCCTTTGACTACCCAGCAATGAGCTCTTTGAATTCAATGTTAGCTTCACACTTCCCAGATTAAGATGTTTGCTTCTTGCACAAAGGGGAATGGAATATGAGAAAGGAGCAGAAAGGAAGATTGGCAATGCAAATGAGCTGGGAGAGGAGGTGACAGGCATGACTATTTGAGAATGCCACATGAGCACAATTCTTTCCTTTGCACTATTTTAGCTCCAACTCAACAAAACACTCCCAAGCCATAATTTCAGATCAGTTTCTTCCCTTTCACCTCATTCTTTCCTTTTGTCTCTCTTGCCAAATTTAAACGGAACTGGAGAGGCCATTTCTGACATGGGTTTTGGTCATTGTTCCCTGCGCCCTCATCTTGCTGTACTGTCCTAAATAGAATTATTTCCAAAATGGGTGCATGCATACACACTACTCCTTTTCCTCTAAGAGTTTATTGGTAAGGTCTTGCAGATAAAAATAGTGCAAAGATGGATAATTAATAAAAATAGGGAGATAAGCTAGGCTGTCCCAAAGGCAGATCTCTGAGGAGATAAATTCTTCACTGCTAACTTACCTCTTGCAAGCTGTTATTTTTATTCAGGAAGCAGGAAAGCAAACTGGCCTCTGATAACACATACTTTTACCTATTGTTGGAGAGGAAGTGGCTGGGCTTCCCAGTAGGATCCAGGAAGAGCCTGGTTTGCCAGTAAGGAATCAAATGAACTCGAAAGCAAAAGAATCAAGTCAGTTTGCAGAAGATCAAGGTTTATTTGAGAGAAGGAGTTTTTAGGTTGCTTAAAAACATTAAATTTAGGATTAAAAATTGAATAGTTCTTAAGAGTGGAGTATGATTTAACTGCTACCTTAGTGAAAGTTTTGCACAAAGTGCACAAAATTGCCATCTGCAATCACATTTTCTCATCTTTGTACTGCAAGGTTTGGAATTTTGTTTTTCTTCTGTTCCTTTACTATGAAGTCTGTTTCTTCAGAGACTGGTATCTTCCTCACCCTTGAGTGGTATATCTGCTGGCTGCCTATAAAAACACTCAAGTCACTGAACTTTTTTTCCTTTCTTGTAACTGGTTTCTGAGTCAGCATTCTTAAAAGCTGTCAAGTTACAGTAATGACCCTTACTAAAGGCAGTGACTGGAAGTGGGGGGAGGAGAGAGGTCAGGATCACATAGGGGTCAAAGTGGAAATGGAGGATAGGACTGCTGTGGATTTGGTGCAGAGTGGCTTATTGCTCAAAATCTGCCTTCAGGCTGGCCTTGGGGTTATCTATATTCTAAAGAAAGAAACCAGAGAAGGTTGCCAATTCAAGCATCCTTGTTATTGGGTGTACAATCTTCTTGTCCGCCTGAGAGTTTGTAGAGAAAGATGCACAATAGTTGCAGCTAAACACTAATTCTGTCCTTTGCTACTGGGCAGTGCTGCTGCAGACTTTACATGTGTCCCTTGTACAGTTAGCAGAGATATTTGTCACAAGACTCACACAAACTTGTGCACCTTTCAACAACTTTCAACTAAAGATGAGAACAGCTGGGAGGTGCTTAGAGCAGCTCTGCTATGGATAGAGAGAATTTTCTGCTATACTACCTGTGCACAAGAAGCATTTGAAATGTGGAAGTGGCTAGCTTGCAAAAATGGGGAAGGGGATTACATAGGATATGCATCTATATCGTTGACTAACCTACTCTGCCAATCCCTTTTTTCAGATAATTTTCAGTAGCTTCTGGAAGGCTCATTATAAATAGCTCCACAATGAAATGGTTGGTTTATTCCAAGAAAATAGTGGTGCATCAGCAGTACACTATAACCAGCTCTGCTCATCCATTCTAACAAGGAAGGCCCCAAATCTGCATTCATTAAAAGGTCTGAAAACTGGTGCTTCCCTTTAGCTGCAGATTGAGTTCAACAATGCCTGGGGGACTGGCAGCCTCTGCAGCTGAGCTCTGGTGTCACCTCTGCCCCGCACGCTGCCTCGTACAGCCCGCTGACACAGCTCCTGCAAAGTGGGCACCTTGCAACGAAGCGGCTGTGAGAGGGCCAGAGGCACCGGAGGCTGACCCTCGCTCTCCAAATAGCAGGGACCCCCTTCCACAGCCCCCAAGCAGAGATAATACTCAACTAACTGGACCATGCAACTGAAGGCTGGGGGGTGGCCAGCTCCTGGCAAGGCCTCCAGGTGGAAAGCTGAGTCCTGCTGCTGAATACGCAGGTTGGTGATGCCTGTCCTGGTGCGGACACTCAAGGTGAAGAGGTGATGATGGTCGGAGGAATCTCTCACCAAGAAGACCCCAGGAGGCTGGGAGGTCAAGAGCCTCTTGGCTTCAGCTCCTGACAGGCTGCCCCAGTAGAAGCCACTGGCCTCCAAGCGTTCCAAGGCACTTTCCACCCGCTCAAACTCTCCACAGAAACTCTTGAAATGGTAGGAAGGGACGGCAGGGCCTGTCATGGCCACCACGACTTGTGTAGATGCCGGTGGGCAGCAACAACACAGGGGGACCATTGCGCCACCAATTGACTAGTGGACAGCTTGATCATTTATCAGAGCTGCATCTGAAAAGGAAGATAAAGTCAATTCACAGAGGCACCTGAATATCACTCGCATCAAGGGTGTTAACTTGGTTTGGTCTGGTGAGTCAAAATATTTGGTATGGGTAATCCTCATCTTACAACATTCATTTA